CAAATTTTGGAAGCAATATCAGTGATAATCTTAATGGGTGGTTAACAGACTTGGTGATTCGAAAGGGTGTCGCAACAACGTTAACAGCGAGGAGGACAGTGTGCGTGATCGGTGAGTGTACAAACAACAAATGTCTATTAGTAAATAATGTGAATATATAAGTGTGGAATGTGAGAGTGGGTAATTAATGTGGAATGTGAGAGTGGGTAATTAATGTGGAATGTGAGAGTGGGTAATCAATGTGGAATGTGAGAGTGGGTAATCAATGTGGAATGTGAGAGTGCGTAATTAATGTGGAATGTGAGAGTGGGTAATTAATGTGGAATGTGAGAGTGGGTAATTAATGTGGAATGTGAGAGTAGGTAATTAATGTGGAATGTGAGAGTGGGTGTAATTAATGTGGAATGTGAGAGTGGGTGTAATTAATGTGGAATGTGGGTGTAATTAATGTGAGAGTGGGTGTAATTAATGCGAGAGTGGGTGTAATTAATGCGAGAGTGGGTGTAATTAATGCGAGAGTGGGTGTAATTAATGTGGGATATTCACAGTTTAGTTATTTATTTTATGTAGTAAAGTATTACTAAATCATTTTTTTCAGCATATTTTTTGCCACCTATGTTTCTTATTGGCACTGGTCTTGTCAAATGTGGATACGAAGGTAACCCTCATCAGTCTAAATACAATGTTTGCTGCTGCTGGTTTTGCAGGGATTCAAGTCAACTTTGTTGAAGTAGCACCTAGATTCGGAGGTGTTCTTTATGCCATCGCAAACACATTTGGATCGTTTCCCGGATTCGCTGGACCGTATATCGTTGGTCTGCTAATCAATGTGGAGGTACGTTTATTGTCCATGGACTTTACTTATTGGACCCTGAACAGATTCATTACACCAGAGCAAATCAAATCCTGTCTTGTTTTGCTAAACTTGTATTTGAAGGTCTTAGTGCTAAAACGTCATATAACCTACTACACAGCTGGTTCGTTATTTGTAGATCTACCACAGCGCTTTGAAATTTGAAAATATAAACCCTAAATTTATTTGCATATTAAAAATATTTGCCGCAATCTGTGCATATAATATTTCAGTGCAGTTTATCTAACAGTTATTCAAACTTACTGATTTGGAGTATGTGACTGTGTCGTATGTTGTTGACTTTGATCCTCTATCTGCTCGTATTTTGCATATATGTATATCATTTAATTATAATTGATGTAATGACATTTCTTATTTGTCAATTTCATCTGATCTTACCAATCCATTTTAATATATAGAACACACGTGAATGTTGGCTGATTGTATTTGGTATCGGCGCTGCCATTTATGTCATTGGTGGAGTTGTTGTTTTATCAACATTGAAAGTGGAAGAACAAGAATGGGCTAAATGTGAGCGAAAACATGAAAGGACGGACGAAAGGAATGGCTTATCGTCTCCATTATAGTTATACGTATCATAAACAATGTCATTGTAACTTTTTGTCCTGTTTCAGTTATCGACGGTACTGAGTTGCAACAATTATATTATGATTCGCACTAGAGTCATGTGGTCCGTGCGAAAACTGTCAACGGAAACGCCATACTAATTATTGTATTTCTTGAATATAACGGAATACTTGAGAAACGACCTTGGTAATATTGATAACTAGCTGACCCTTGCCTCTGTACCATAGGCGGCTTTGATTCGAGTGTGTATAAATACAATTATGGTATGATATAAATTGATAAACTAGTTTGATTATTCAGCTTAGCAATTGTTGTATGAATAAACAAATGGCCATTACCACATTCTTGTTTGTGTATAACGGTCAGAATATATTTCATAATACAAATAATCATAATTGCCTGTGGTATTTCATTGATTCACATAATCACACCAGAGTATTTTGATGAAGTTTATTAGCATGTCAACAATATGTAACATGTATTAAGCATTGAGTTGTGTTAAAATCAATATCCACATAGATATTCTAAAGTGAAACCTAATCAAAGTTTATGGTTTATTATGACTACTTAAGAAAAGTTGTTTAATAGTATGTGTCATGGTCATAACCTGGATTTCTTCGTGTATGTCACGGATGAAGAACTGTCCAGTTAGGGGCAACTGGAAAAAGAAAAAAATAGCAATTAGATAGATATTCAGTGAATTAATCCAATATGACACAATGGTTAGTACATTGTTGTCATTATGAGATATTATCGCTATGTGTTTGTTGTTTCTGTCAATTACACGCCGTAGTTCTGTGACGTGCATACAAGTATTGCTTTATGCTAAAACATGTCGAGTGTGAACAAATTTATGAAGATGGTGAATTCTTCATGTTATATTTGATTGTCTTCATATCATTATACTTGTATTTTAATTTATAACTTCCGTTTCCCTTAACACCATAAATGTTTCTTAATTACACATAAAAATAATTATTATCTCTAACAATTAGTAATTATGTTCCAGGTTACTTTCCTAGCATGATAACTGAAATAAATCAGGTCAAACTAGAAATAATATACGAAGTATTACAGTCAACAAAAAGTGTAAAAAAAAATAAGCTGAATCCTACCTGCCAGGTATCTGCCAACTATTACTGAAAACCTCAGAGTCAAATGTCCTTTGCCCATCTGGTGTTATAAAGTCGTTCTTTGGATTGTCATCAGCATTTCCTAGAAGTCCGCATACATGCCCATGTAGGTTGTTGTCATTTAATGTAATAGACATCCGATGTCCACGTCTCTTCCATTAAGAGTGAATCCAAGTTGGTTCAGATAGACTGTGATTGTACCTTTTTCCTTTTTTATATGGCCGATATTATTATCAATTATTGCCAACGAGTTGTTCATCGGTTTCCCTCCAATCTATACGAATACAATCACTTACGAGATTATTAAATAATAATTGACATTATAACATGGTTAGTCTGAATTTGGTCATGTAATTGGCTGTAGTATACTGGAATCCCTGTGATTCTGCGCGAATCTGAATAACTACTTCATCATACAGGCAAGAATTGTGATCCTTGTCACGTACATTTGTTTACAATTATAGTTGAAGGAATTTGTGCAAGAAATGCATTGTATTGTCTACATAAATATCAACATGTATGCACACTATATAGAAGAATCATTGTTCAACTTACTAGTATAGAGTCGTCTTCATTGATTCTGATCAGTTCCTTCTCATTTGAGGTTACGTTAAATGCAACCATAAATGTTGGAGGTTCATACGGGTGGTCTTTTCCTCTGAAATCAGCAGTGACTTCAAAGTCAGGGTAAATGGTTTCATCGCAACTTTTGACCAAGGTGTAAGAACAGTAACCGTTGGAATTGAACTTGTAACCGTCAAAGGTCGTCATATGTGGCTCGTGTTGTCCACCACCACCTTGTGTAAAAATCAATTAATAATGCAAGTTATGGAGATGGATGTGGTTGCCATGCTAGTAAGAAAAAATGGCCATAGCATAGGCAGTAAAAACATTTGAGCAATTTCCACAGTTAGGGTATGTAATAAGTTAAATTATTTTAATAATAGGAAGCTTTATCTTCACTTGAAGCTCATCGACTATTAATGATTTACAACAAAAGGTGTGGATAAAACCATGAATAAAGCTACCAATTGGATGTCAGCATTATATATCACATCTCAGAAAGCCCTAGATCGTCACTAAACGCAGCCTAATACAACTCCCCGCTATCACCTTACCTTACCTTAAAACATAGCATACTATGTTCCTTGATTATTTGTTTTTAAATTCTCGGACGTTCACGAAGAGCATCAACACATATTGCAATATTAAAAGTGGGATTAACCTGATGTTTGTGTTATGAAGAAGTGGTAAATATAGGGGGGGGGGGAAACAAGTTGATTCCATGTATTACATTATACAAATTGACGAAGCATTGAGTGATATTCTTGTTTCAAATGAACCATTTTATCTCTCTGTGATCTTATTTTTCATCAAAAATACCTCTTTGTAATAATAGCATGTCCGGTAGTGCAAATAAAATGATGATATGACATGATGGAAAAGTAAGAGCCATTCAAATGCAAATAATTGAAACAAGAGTTGATCAAATATATGGTTTATGTATGTATTCCATAACACAAAGACTATGGTCACATATGCAGTTGATTTTGCTCCTTTTACAGTCCATTAAATGATTGCCTATTTGTCGACGATTTTGACAGTGAATTAATAAATATTACCTTATTAAGCCGTACTATTAAAATTTAATAACGATTTAAATATTCAACTACGAGTTTTAAATACAAAAAAAACATACTGGTAATCAAATTAATTTACCTTAGAACAACAAAAATGGTAGTGTTTCAATTACGAGTTAATACATACTAAGATGTATTGATCATTACTACTATTAATAAAAAGCATATATTCCATAATAAAATAGTGAACGAAAAAATAAACTATTGATAAGCATGATATTCGAGTAAATATCAAAATTCACTACCACTCTGCATAGCCTCGTAATCAATGTGTATTCATTTGCCAAATATGCAAATTATATACAATTGGTTAACAATAAATCTATCTATTATTATATGATACCAGTATATTGATGGTGTTAATCCATTGATTTGATTGGTCCAAACACAAAATTTGCATATGCAATCCATGGTATATTGGTTGATAATGCACGGCTAAACCAAGTGGCCCTGGAACATGAATTGACTACAGATTTAATACGGAAATACATAAAACCGGTATTATTTGATTTTTAAGGAAATATAGTCGTTGAATTTTGGAAGAATATTGAAAAAAATACTGAATTAAAAACATCTGAAAAGTTATATAACTATAATATTGCTTTTTGTTATTGGTGGGGTCCAAGTTGTGAGCGTCGGTCGTTGGGTGATTGTCGTTCGCCACACAAACCTAAAACCACCGTCCCTCAACACCGTGAGGTGCCTACACGAACGCCAGAACGCTGTGTTCTCAGTGTTGTTACTTTGGGATGGATTGCGAACTTCCAACAAAGAAAACATGATCTTTAAGTACAGGATGTAATTGAAGGATTTAATGACATAAAAATGC